GTTCTCTTCGTGTCGCTTCAATATTGCACTGGCTGGCGGGACTCTGAGAGACGCATCGCCATCATTCCTCTGCGTCTGTATGTCTGTCTTTCCTAGAGAGGGAAGGAGGGATGTGAGGTAAGGAAGGGAAAAAGGAGAGATTCCAACGAGGTGCTACGTTTTGTGTCGCTGTGTCACTACATATTGCTCTAAAAGGGACGCATCACCGCCGTTTTCCCTCGCTCTCGACTGCCATGATATTTGTCTGTCTCTCTGCCTGTATGTGTGTCACTGGCTGTAACCTGGGAGAGAGTGGTAATGGTAAGGAGAGGAAGAAAAATATGAATTTCTTTTTGTCTGTGTGTGTATTTTTGTCTCCCCTTTTTGTGTTCTCTCTCTCTCTCTCTCTCTCTCTCTCTCTCTCTCTCTCTCTCTCTCTCTCTCTCTAACCATACGCTATAAGACTCACAAATCATTACTTTAATCTAGAGAAAATAGGTTCTATACTACTATCCATACTATGTACTGTAGATGGGATAAGATAGTGCGATCTAACCTATATGCTATAAGGTTCCCACATCAGAACTTTTACATGAAGAAACTGACCTCTAAGCCCCTATCCTTACTGTTATGGATAGCGGGAGAAGAGGTAGGGGTTAATGCCCTACCTAACCCACTCCTCATAAGGGCTAAACACCCGTAGTTCAGCATAAGGATATTGACCTCTAGAGAAATTCATATGTGTCTTTACTCCTTTATGTGTACAAGATGACATAACACAGTGTACTCAGAATGAACCTTTGTTTATGTATGCTGGTATTTCTGAATCGTGACACCTGTACTTGTTGCCTGACCTGTTGTATCATTTTTGAATCAGGACTTAACTACGCTTGACGTTTTCATTTATACTGTTCTTTCTAAATATCAATATCTTGTTTTTTAACCTTTCCTTGTATCTTAACCTGTACCTTCACTTATACTTGTAACTGTACTTGTACCTTTACCTGGATGTTAAATACAAGTTTGATCAATGTGCTGTAGGTAGCAGACAGGAGTTTCAACCTCACCACCGAGTGTCGAGTGCCTTGACACCTGCCGGGGAACAGCCTGTCATATTGATTACACGTGTTGCTTGAGTTTATGTGCTTTTGTTCACTTGCGCGGAAACACACACACACACCTGCTGAAGGATCATAGTGTAACATCTGTTTAATGTTGAAAAACCCGCCTCAAGGTGTACGTGGGTTGAAACGTACAGTGACGAGTGATGATCCTGGAGAGAGAGAGAGAGAGAGAGAGAGTTCCTCAGGGAGACGTTAGCAATGATGCCGCAGACCGTAGCCACCATCTGGCCACGCTTATAGTAAGGGGCACTGCCCTGAGCGCGTCTCTACCAGTGCCAAACACTGTGGCACTCCTCCCATCTCCCTCCTCCCTCCCTCCCTCCCTCCCTCCCTCCTCCCTCCTCTCCCTCCCTTCCTATTCCTATTTGTGATAATTTCAATACCTTTTTTAAACATTCTACTTTCACCTTCTCCACCATAAGTCGCCACACACCTGAGGGATGTTGTTCAGGTGTGGTCTACCGCGTATTAAAACACTTGTGTTGGTGGTGTGGCTATAACCCCTGGTCCATCTACCTGTGACGGGTGTACCCCACTATACACCTGGGGAAAGTGAAGACGACTGAGTGCAGCCTCGGTCACACTACCTCCTTGAGTACCGATGATTGAATACACAGTTTGCTATATCCACACTGCCCCTAAAGGCTCGCAGGCCTATGGGACCCACGTTTTACTATAATGGACTATAGCAAACATTAATAAACCTGTACTATACCACTGATATACCGCTCATCTGTGCTACTCTCAGACGTCGTAAAGTTCTTAAGACATTCGAGCGAAACAATGGGTAGTACAATGGTATTTTTCCTTAAGTTGTCCTGTTTTGCACACACACACACACACACACACACACACACACACACACACACACACACACACACACACACACACACACACACACACACACACACACACACAGTCTCCATCATTCCTCCCTCCACCCACAAGTCCCTCCACTACAACTCCCGGCCTTCTCCCCTATCCATCCTGACCTCCCCCTCCCCTTCCCCACCCTAACCCCTACCCCCTCTCCCCTCAAACGCTCCCACTCCTCCTTCTCCCCAAAGACATTCCTCCTCTCCCCTCAATCACCCACTCTCACCCCCAATCACTCCCTCTCTCTCCCTCCCTCCCCTCCAACCCTGATCTCCTCCTGCCGTGGACGTAAGGGGTCAGAACAACGCCCATCCAAGAATATCCTGACGAAGGGGATAGATATATACTCTTATATCCTTCTACGAGAGAGTGGCCGTCGGTGTCTCATATCTCCTGTGGAAATGATCACTGAACCTCCCGGGTCCTTCTGAGCAATATCGGGAGTTGTGGTGGTGGCAGTGGTGGTGATAGTGGTTGTGATGGTGAGAGTTGTGGTAGTAGTAGTAGTAGTAGTAGTGGTGATGGTGGTAGTGATGGTGGTGGTTGTGGTGATGGTGATAGTGGTGGTGGCTTTGGTAGTAGTGGTGTTAGTTGTAGTAGTGGTGGTGATAGTGGTGGAGGTGATAGTGGTGGTTGTGGGAATTGTGGTCCTTGTTGTTAATATTTATACACTTGTCTGTATTACTACTGATTGTCTCTCTCTCTCTCTCTCTCTCTCTCTCTCTCTCTCTCTCTCTCTCTCTCTCTCTCTCTCTCTCACCCAACACTCTTGACACACACCTTCAAGAGGAAAGACTATAAGACCAGCTCTGAGGTCTGACTAGAATTTATCGAGAGGAGTTCTGTCGGTAATCCTGTCGGTTTTTCTGTCGGTCATGTTGTCGATTTTCTGTCGGTAGTGCTGTCGATAGTGCTGTCGGTAATCCTGTTTGTTATTCTGTTGGCAGTTCAGTTATTTGTGTCGACAGTTATTGTGGCCTTAGACTAAGTTCTTAACGTGGCTGTATGTGTGTTTGTATACATACATACATACATACATACATACATACATACATACATACATACATTCACACGATCTCCACGAAAATCTGTAAGGCAGCGTGTATAAATTTTTCTGACACCCTGTAATGTCTCTTCATATCATTATCTTATTAATTTGCATAAGAATGTTTAAATAAAATTCTAATTAATTTCTCTTTCTGTTCACTCTAAGAAGTAAACAAACAAACAAACAAACAAACAAACAAACAAACAAACAAACAAAACAAACAATCAAAAGAATAATCATTAGTCAATTATGACGCTAACCACAAACAGAGTAGCTGGTTAGGATTTCCTGTCGTTGGCTACACTGCATACCTCCCCCCACAGGCCAGACACTGGGTCAGATGTACAGTCATTTGCCTCTGTCAGCAGTGCCAACGTCGAATATAACAGAGTGTCATGTATCGTAAGATTTGTCGTAGGGGAAAGAGAGCCAGAATCGATCGTATCTTTAGTGTCTTTTTGTTTTGTTTTTGTTTTTGTTTTATCTCGTAAGTCTTATTGTGGGTGTTTTATGTGATCTAGAATTTGTTTTGTGTTTTATTTTGTTTGTTCAATTCAATTTCAATTTCAATTGTTTATTCCTTGATAGATGAAGCGGGATCCTAGTGCTGTCACTAGGTACCCCTGTACAATGACACCAGAAGCATCTGGCAAGAATATACAGTATAAATATTATAAAGGGGCTTACTAAAGCCTAAGGAAGGAAGGATATTTGTTGGCTTTTATTTGTCTTGGAGGTGATGTCGTATTAGGGTGTTTATCCCGTATTGGCCTTACTAGCCCGGGGAGCTTAGGGGTTAAGTCCTCTCTCTCTCCCTCTTTGCTCTCTCTCTTTGCTCTCTCACCTACTTGTTCTCCTTCCTTTAGTCTTTCTCTTTCTTTCACGCACACACACACACACACACACACACACACACACACACACACTACAACCTCTCGCTAATTCTCAAAACAATGTAAACAAAAGCTTCTGGAACAACTAGAATATTGTGTGTGTGTGTGTGTGTGTTTGTGCGTGTGCGTGCGTGTGTGTGTGTATGTGCGTGCGTATACCACCATACAGACCAAAGCCTTATCAACTTTTGATATTATTTATACATACTGTATAGTTTGAGTCCATGTAACATACGGTAGAATGCTTAACACAATCTACCACCTAACGAGGCAATTACCTTTCCACTAACAAGTCGTGTGTCGTGGTCATGTTAACTCTATTGTTGACTCAAACACTCGCCTACCTTGGTGCTTGCTAATGATCTCAGGTCACGAATTATAATTACGGTGTTTCTGTGTGTTATGTTTGTTCCCGACTTTCATCATTATATTTTCTAATTCCTGTCCACTGGGGTCTTTTGTATTTACTTAGCCTTCCTGGTGTTTGTACGATCACACACACACACACACACACACACACATAATACGATCATATGTATACACCCACGCAGATAGATATTTACATCTCTATTACCTTGATATATATATATATATATATATATATATATATATATATATATATATATATATATATATATATATATATATATATATATATATATATATATATATATATATATATATATATATATATATACTTGTAGTCTCTCATAATTATGAAATTTTATTGTTTCAAGATTTCTTTAATTGCCTCAGTTAATTGCTATTTACCCGTCATAGATTATTAACTTCTCTGTGGAGATGAAAGAGAAAGGATCACATTATTATATAATGAATATCAGGGTTTATTGAGCATCTCTCTGTGTCTTTCTCTCTGTCTGTCTGTTTGTTTTACTGTCTGTCTTTTTTCCTTATCACTAACTGATGTAAGTATAGGAAGAGGAAACTTTGGTGAGAGTAACTAACAAAAGCATCAGCTACATGATCCAACCATGAACAATTGTTGATAGCAACGCCGTCAAACTTAAGCCATCATAGAGTGAGTAGTTGACCTCTAACATGTATCATCTTGTGTTTCAGGCGCGCTGGGGTCCATCCCCCAGGAATGGACCGGCACGATGACGGTGAGGAAGAAGCGGAAGCCGTACTCCAAGTTCCAGACGCTGGAGTTGGAGAAGGAGTTCCTCTACAACGCCTACGTTTCCAAGCAGAAACGCTGGGAGTTGGCGCGGAACCTCAACCTCACGGAGCGGCAGGTTAAAATATGGTTCCAGAACCGTCGCATGAAAAACAAGAAAAATAGCCAAAGACAGGCGGCGCAGGAAGCAGCGAACGGTGCGGGGGGTGGCACTCCTTCTTCAGGTGGTGGCACCCCAGGACACCAGCCCAACACTCCCCAGACGCCCAACACGATTAAGCCTTGACCAGTGCAGGGAGCCTGCCCCGCTGCCCCCAGCCTGCCTCCTGCCCCGGCACTCGCTCCCCACCCAACCCTCCCTACCATCTCGGGGGACATGTGGGCGTGAGGACCCCACCGGGCAGGATCGACGGACTTTACCTGCAGTGGATCGTGGCCTGCTGCTGTAGTGTACCGTGACCTGCTGCTGTAGTGTACCGTGACATACTGCTGTTGTGTACCGTGACCTGCTGCTGTAGTGTACCGTGACCTGCTGCTGTAGTGTACCGTGACCTGCTGCTGTAGTGTACCGTGACCTGCAGTAGTGTACCGTGACCTGCTGCTGTAGTGTACCGTGCCCTCCTGCAGCTAATGTACCGTGACCTGCTGCTGCAGTGTACCGTGACCCGCTGCTGTGGTGTACCGTGACCTGCTGCCCGTGACCTGCTGCTGTAGTGTACCGTGACCTGCTGCAGCAGTAATGTACCGTGACCTGCTGCTGCAGTGTACCGTGACCCGCTGCTGTAGTGTACCGTGACCTGCTGCTGTAGTGTACCGTGACCTGCTGCTGTAGTGTACAGTGACCTGCTGCTGTAGTGTACCGTGACCTGCTGCAGCAGTAATGTACCGTGACCTGCTGCTGCAGTGTACCGTGACCCGCCGCTGTAGTGTACCGTGACCTGCTGCTGTAGTGTACCGTGACCTGCTGCAGCAGTAATGTACCGTGACCTGTTTTTATAGTGCCGCGATCTGCAGTGTGTTCGTTAGAACAATATGAACAAAGGATAACTGATAAAATAGGCAACACGAGGAGAAACTGGAGAGTTGACCAAACAATGTTGTGGCGGCCAACTGAACATGTGATGAGAAACCAAAACAAAAGAAAAGAAAACAAACGAGTCAATCAGTCTGGGCGGCAGTGTGCTGGACAGGAAAAAAAACATAAACAAAAAATATATAATTATAATTAGAAACTAACTCACTTTGTCACGTGCAAGATAGAGACTTGTCCACAGCGACTATGTTCCACACCCTTCCCCCCTTCCCTCCTCCTCCTCTCCAAACACTCCCTCCTCCCCCATCTTCCCAGTGACACCTCTCCTCCTTCACACCTGTGCAACCCCCAAGAGAATATTTTTTTTTATGAAAGGCGTGGGAGCCGACTATAGAAAGGTGGGGGGAAGCGACCAACGTCATCATCCTCCTGCTGCGTCAGGTTGTAACCAAGGTCCTCCTCCACTTCTGCGTCGTCGAGGTGCTCCCCCTCCTCCTCCTCCCTCAAAGCGCCACTCCTCAGTGTTGTTGTTCCTAGTGACATAATGTGTAGGACTCCTCTCCTTCCCTCAAGAAGGAGACTAAAGAAAAAGGACTCCTGAAGTGTTTTTTTTTTTTTTGCGGGGAAACGAAGGATGGAGAACAAGAGGAGAGCTAATAATAATGACGTTTGATGTTAATGATGATGATGACGATGATGATAATGATGATGATGATGATGATGATGATAATGCTAATGATGCTCCTCCTCCTCCTCCCCATCATGTTTCCCATCCACCACAACACCCTCACCCCCCTTCCTCATCCTTCATCCCCCTCCACAATGACTGCCCCCCCATACACTCTCCCTACACCCCCTTTAACCCCCTACCCTCCCCTCCCTACCCAACCCCCATTTGTACATTACTATTTATCGTCAGCTGTAATAAGTGTAAATAAATTCCATTTCGTACGCTGTAGTTATTGCGCTTAATGTTTCATAATTCATTTTCTCAATGTACCAGAGTCTATTGGTGAGAACTGTTACCTGTCAGAGGCCACAGCGTTCCTCTGTCAATAGTGAACAGGGCAGCTTTATCCCGTATCTCATGTTGTGTTGTTACTACTTCTTGTTACGTTTTGGTTTGGACAACGCGACGCAGGATCAATGTCTTTTTTACATTAGGACTAGAGAGGTGTGTGTGTGTGTGTGTGTGTGTGTGTGTGTGTCTGTCTGTCTGTCTGTCTGTCTGTATGTGTCTGTGTGTGTGTATGTGTGTGTGTGTGTGTCTGTGTGTGTGTGTGGGTGTGTGCTGGGTATGCTTGTATATGTGTGTGTCTTGGGTAGTTTTTTGTGTGTGTGCTTGAATTTGCATATATACGCGAGTGTGAGTGTATGTATGTATATGTATGCGCCTGTTTATATATGTGTCTCTGTATGTCTGTATGCATGCCTATATGTGTGTATATATGTGTATATCTTCGCGTATGGGCTGAAGAAGAACAAGAACAAGAACAAATCCTTGAAGGTTTTAGTGTCATAATGTTTTAGTCATCAGTATATGAGTATTCAATCAAATTAGTGTATACCTCTATGTACAATATCGAAAACCCTCTCTTTGTAGAAAAAATATAATAATTATATACACAGTTCAGTTCAGTCAAGTTAATAAGATGTTCCCGCGGGGGGCACTTGGAGGCAGCTGGACACATCTACAGCGAATAGGTTATCTGGTTCCTCATGAAGGATAATCTGCCACAAAAGGTACATCTGTAAACATTTGGTCTCTTGACTCATAATAATTAAATTTTATGGACATGTATAAACCTTCCACTGATTATAGGAATTAATGTTATAATCCACAGTGTATTAGATTTTATATATATGTATATGTATTAATTTCACATTTCACACATTGTTTTGGAGAAGAAATACAAACTATCTAAAAGTTTTACATAGACAGTCATAGGAATTTTTTTTATATATGTATTCATTTAGGATTTTCGTCACTACAGTCGAGTATATGGTGAATTGCTTTCATAGTTTCAGTGTAAGGTGGATAACATCTGAGGAGAATGTCAGAACAAGAATTATTGTAGTTTTCACTCCCAATTTGGGCATTATAATATATATATATATATATATATATATATATATATATATATATATATATATATATATATATATATATATATATATATATATATATATATATATATATAAATATATATATGAGTGTGTGTGTGTGTGCACTCGTACTGTGATGACAGCTGTAATCACAAATATTCCACAATGTTATCACGCAATATAGTGTGACTGGGGAGCAGATTTGTACACCATATACAACTTAATTATGTGAGACTATCAGGTGATGCATCCTCGTTGTGTATCCCGCTCATAAACATTCTAAAATTAAAGTGTTTCTCTGAAAAGTCAAATATTATAAATATTGTTTACGCTGAATCATAGAGATTTTCACTGTTCGCTGTCGACAGTCTTGTCAGCCTCGAAAACCCTGTAGCCCACAACAACAACAAAGATAACAACAAACAACTGTTATATCAAGAGAGAACTAAACGTCACGTGACATCCGGTATTTGGTTTTAAGTCTGAACGACAAATCTTCCCTCTTCTTTAATCTTGTATAAAATACTTATCAATTCGTTACATTCTTCAAGTCTTGCTAATGGACGAATATTTACTACCTGACATCTTAAATACAAACCGACGGACTGATTTCGTCTCTCCCATCCCTCCACTCCCCCTGCTCTCTCTCTTTCACACATTTATCATTGTTTACTCTGTTGCTCCGCGTCAGCTCAGCGTTCAAAGTAGAACCATATGTGGTGTACAAACATTTAGCGCGTTGACCCTTGGTTACGCCCGTGCAATGTATAGATGATATCTGTTCTATAATTAACTATAGATAATTGTATTCGTCTACCGGTTTACAGATAAGGTTTATATATGTGTTTTTTAGCCAAAGGTGAAGAGGGTCGCGCTCTGAACGAGATGTAACGTGGATATCAGACGATTGGGTCTATCTTTCCTTAATATCTTTTTCTTCTGTTATCTCTTTTTTAATTTATTTCTCCAAGTGTAACTCATATAATGAGACCAAAGGAATATGCTTATTTGTTGATTTTGGTGGATTTGATGAATTGTAAAATCGAGGTTATTATTGGTGCCTGGACAGTGCTGTGGTGGTGATGGTCGTGATGTTTACGCTTATGATCTTGTGTCATTCTGAGGCATTTGAAGAAAAATAATCATAGTTTCACAGACTTTAGGAACATCACTTGATCATGTGTAAGATACAAGACATAAAAAAACTGTTACTCTTTATCAACTTTTACTTTTTTGTGACTAAATTTAACTTATAATTTATACTCTCCTAACAATAAGCCATCTTAAATGCCACCACTAACCTAGGCACTGTCCAGGACTCTGTTTAGATCTCTGATTCAGGGACGTCCAAAATACAAATTATTAGAGGACAAAAAATAAGAATGATTGGTTGATTTTCCTATGAGAAAAATATGACAAAACCTGAGGCTTAGGAGTAATGAGCTGAGGCGAGTTAGAGAGGAACAAACTGACCACCATCACCACTAAGAGTCAAGGTAATAATTCTTAACTAAGTACAAACACACACTCACTCAGCTTGTTGCTCTGAGGCCAACAACAACATTAAGTGCACAGGTGTTTTGATGCTAAACCATGTAAGAAATGCAATGTTCTCTGTATGCTCATGATCACAGATGTTTTTTGTCATTTGCAGAAGAAAACAAAATTAATAGTAAAACCATATGATGTCTATCTTATTAAACACAGTTCTTCTTTTTATATGTATATATATATAGTTTTTAATTTTTTTTTGTTACATGCAAGTCGTCCACATTCTTAGATACATTTAGGTGTGTGAGTCTCAGCTAGCAAGACACGGGACCCTGTTAGGTTGTGTCTCACAGTGGAGGCCGTCACCCGAGGTTTTATGCTAGTAAGGAAAACAAATCCCTTGGCTGTTTATATTTAGTGAAATATGCTGGACTCCTGGTCAGATTTTTGTGGTTTAGATAATATGTTGATAAAATACAGAGGGTTTTGCTAGATAGACTAGGTATTAGTCCATTTTGACTCGTTCATTACAAAGATTATTTTCCTATAACATATCTCCCTAAAATCGAAAAAGCTAATGGTATCTGTCAGAGAGGGAATGTAATACTTGATTGTCAATTGTTTTTGATTGTAAGTAAATTTTGTACTCCATAAAAAGTGGAATTTTTCTCTCATGAAATTAGTCATTTCGAAGACGTAGTTTTACATGTGTGAGATTGAAGTATATATGTATATCTTAAAATAACAAAGTCTTTATAATATAAATTACATGACTGTGGTACTATCCGGTATCACATATAGTCCTAAATTACAGATTTTTTATGTCGGACGCAAATGTTGCGTTAAACAATTTCTCCTTCTAGTGACCAGCACCTTCAAAATACATCTTCTAATAAACCTTCAATTACAGTGTGTAATTAGCCTCCGAGTTCTCTCACGAAGACTCCAGGATGGTATCATTCCTCAGTTCCATAAATAACACTAAAGAAAAACAAATATGTAAACTTGTTTCAAAAGGGGAATGATTTTTCTTAACACGACAC